GGGAAGGAGGGAAGGAGGGAAGGAGGGAAGGAGGGAAGGAGGGAAGGAGGGAAGGAAGGACATAGTGTAGCATGCTTTATGAATGCAACTGCTGAGTATGTAAGGGACCTGGATAAGCACGTCCTGTGAACAGAGCCGTTCTTCTGCTGGTAGAGGGGCCTGCCCAGATTGCCTACTCCAGACACCCATCCCTGCAACCCTAATGGGGTGCACAGCATGTGTTTAAACGCAGCCACTGCGGTTCATACGCTGGAGTCAATGGCACGATGTGCCTCTTTGCAGACCCCGGCACCGTGGCCTGCCAGGGAGTCAGACAAGGATAGATGTTGATAGCAGCAGTGCCATCCAAGCTCCACCCCTTTTGCATGTGGATCGATGTCGTGCGCATGTACAGCGGGAAAGGGGGTTGATCGTGCTGTCACAACTGCCATCTTGCCTTTTTTGACCCACCCCCGCAGATCCCAGCCCACCAACCCATAGTTAAGTGAAGTGCGGCAGTATGGGGTGGCAAGCCAGAGGTCTCACGGCCGTCCTGCCCTGTAACGGAAAGAAGAGCCGTTCTGAGTCCTTCGTGGGTTTCGTTCTTAGCATTAGTCATGCCAGGTTTGGTGTGGCTGTTTTGGCTCCGAAGCAGAGACGGGTTTTCAGAGACTGATACTTCGTTCTAATTTGCTTTATTTCGTTTATTGCCTCGTGCCTGTAAACTGGTGTATAAGTTGCGCATTTTAAAAAAATGCCCCACCTTGTGAGATCTTGGCAGGCACATCTCAAGGTCTCACAGGCACTTTCTGGCACAAGATCCTGTGAGATCTCACAAGATGGGGCATTTTTGATGAATGGGATCTCATTAAATGCTAGCATTCCTCTAGGATAGCTTATGGATTTCACAAAGTTTTGTAGCCATTGGATTTTTTTCCCAACAAGAGTGTGTATGGAGCCCAACAAAGTTCATTACCCGAGCTTAATATTACATGGAAACTAATCCACCCCAAACCTTCATTTAAAAAAAGATTGGCTTGGCACACCAGATATACTTGTGTATAAACCCATCCACAGAAACCAATCCTTGCATTTTTAACCAATTTACCATGAAAAATGCAGCACCCTCGGATAAGCTGGCCTGCATTTTTCGTTCTATTTTGGTTAAAAATTCGAGGGTCTGCCTATCCACAGATGGGCTAATCCACGAATATATATGGGAAATATGGGTACTTTTAAAAAGAATTGCCAAATACCCTCGCGGATAAGCCAACTTTTAGGTTTGGGGTGCATTGTGGCACCTAAAATTCTTGGCTTATCCACAAACACTGGCTTATACTACTGTATATCCACAAGTATATACAGTAGTATAAGCCAGTGTTTCTCATCCTCAGCAACTTTAAGACATGCGGACTTCAACTCCCAGAATTCCCCGACAAGCACGCTGGCTGGGGAATTCTGGGAGTTGAAGTCCACACAAGTTGCTGAGGTTGAGAACACTGGCATAAACTATGATTAATAAAAGTATGGATCTTATCTTTAGCGGAAAACTAAACCAGCTCTATTTTTCCCCTTGATTTCCCCATGTCCAGCATCATGAGCTTCTCCGTTAGGACCACGCTTGACATCCCCTAAGTGGAGGAGAACTTCTTCCAAAGGAGAAAGGATGGAGACAAATCCTGTTTTTAAGTTGCATGTTTACTAGGTCAAACATTCCTGGGATGGCCTCTAACGCAGGTGTGGGAAAATTTTGTCTTCGACCAAGGGCCAGATGTCAGCCTTGCGAGGTAGTCCAGACAAGAAACACACCCAGAAGTACTAGCTCTAACTTTATTGTAAGGTGACATTAACAGAATCTTGCAAGTCTGCAAGTGCATTTCTCCCCCGTCGCTTTTACAGTCCAAGAAACTAGGGAGGGTCCCTTCTGAGATGTTTGCCATGTCCACATTCCTTCTGTGGGCTCAGCTGCCTCTTACCTGACCATGGCCTAGTCTGCGGATCTTCTTCCTGTCTCCCAAGGTCATTCCCGCATACCATGACACCATATTACCTTGAGGGAGTATGTTGGGCTTCATGCTGGGCAGGTTCAAACAGAATGGATGGAGGCAGAGCTGAAAGTAGGTGGGAACACCCATTTTCTTGTGAAAACCCTGTCCTGTGAATGACCTGCATTTTTAAAATTAACACCTGAAAGAGAGGCTACTTAGCAAGCTAGCTTTTCCAGTTACTCTTGTAAACTGTGGGATTGACTCTTGTAAACTGTGGGGGTAGAGTAAATTTTTGTTCTAACCCCAATTAGATAATTATTTCCCTCTTTTGCCTTAGCAGGTGCCCAATATATGCTAGGCCAGTGTTTTTCAAACTTGGCAACTTTAAGAAGTGTGGACTTCAACTTCCAGAATTCTGGGAGTTGAAGTCCACACCTCTTAAAGTTGCCAAGTTTGAAAAACACTGTGCTAGACACTTAAACCTCATTAATACAGGATATAACCTTTCCTTGTTGATGCCTAAACTAAGCAACTTCAGGGTGGTTGAGGAAAGAGAGGTTGAAGGACTATCAAACTTGCTCAACGAAAGCAATTCCTTTGTGAGTTGTATTCCATGGAATGCTGTTCTCAGCACTTGGGGCTCACCACAGTATACTGGGGAAGACCCTAAGTATATGGACAATTTTAATAAATGTCATTCAATTTGGTGCCGTCCTGGCGCCTACTTTAGCGTTCACCTTCTTCAGTACCGATTCGGCAAATTCTAAATCAGCTGGCACGCATTTCCGAACCCCCCCTTTTTTTCCCAGACTTCCTTCTTTTCCATTTCGTCCTTCTTTACTTTTTCCCAGTTACAGCCTGCAGAGCAGATACAGATCTCTCTAGCCTCGGCTCTGAACTGATTTTACTGCCAAGAGGTTGGGGTTGGTGCAGATCGAGCCCCTCTAGGGCGTGAGTTGGGAACTGTGGCACTTCCACCCAGCCCTCCAGCCTCACTTTGCCCACACTGGGAGAGAAATGGCAAGGGTATATTATCTTGGCTTTGGTTTTGCCCTGTGCCAGCATTCCAGCCATTCCCCTTCACCCAACCTTGTGGTCCTGTCAGCCTTCCCAGGTAGACCAGACAGGAAACATGACCAGATAAGCTAATTCTACTTTATTGTAAGGCTACATTAACAGAATCTTGCAAGTCTGAAAGGACAAATCTCCTACCATCTCCTTTACAGCCCAAGAAACTAGGGAGGGTCCCTTCTGACCCTCTTTCTCCTCCCATTATGCAGCCGAGGGCTATGCCTTCTCTTATCGGGCCATTCCCTAGGTCTTTCTCACATACCATTGCAGACGTTCTTGTCCTCCAGTGAACAGAGGGCCTTTAGCTCTGCTCAGGCAGTTTCCATTGGTTGACTTGGTCACAAAGGGGCCTGATGTCACCCATTGTTATGCTGCTTTTGTGTTAGGGGATGCTGAGCCACCCAAGGACGTGTATGTATATGAGTTCATCATGGCCAAAGAGATGTCCTTCAATGGGTTCTAAAGCCAGCATCATGCATCTATGAAGGAATTGGTCCAGCCACGAAGGTCCTGCTTGGGAGACACCAGAAATATCAGTGTGGGGGTCCTTGCCTTGCCCCCACCGTTTTTTATTTACTTTATGCAGCTCCTAGAGAATAATCATTGTCTCTCTCCATGTGTGTCCTCTGTTTCCCAAAAGCTCTTGCCCACATTTTTAAAACCTACTTTATGGCCAGTTACCACTTCGAATTTGGTAACTGGCCAGTGGAATTTCGATGGGATGAAGCAGGAGGCAGCAGCCACCCGGGAGGTCGCAATGACAGCGGCAAAGCCTGTGGGCACCCTATCCTCGTCAAGGCTGTGCCAGGAGCATGTCCCGTGGAGCCTGCAGTGGAGGCAGGGCCTTATGGACACCGGAGTACCCGATGGAACCTTATTAGCAGCGTTAAACAGTTGCCCAGTCGTGTTGCCAGCTACATCATGGCTCACTCCTTAGGCCGTTGGTTGCTATACCCGGGTTCTGTCTTCCTCTTGAACCAAGCCCTGCTCCCCATCCTGGCCAAGGGTCAGATCCGCCTCTTGCAAGAGTATAATGGGAAACGGGCAAAGCTGGTGGCCCGGGATGGAAATAAGATTGACACCATGTTTGTGGACAGGAGAATCAAGTTGGGTGTGCCTGGGGCACAACGGGGGAACCGCCTCGTGATCTGCTGTGAGGGGAATGTCAGCTTTTATCAGTGGGGCTGCCTGTTCACCCCCTTGAAGACGGGATATTCGGTGCTGGGATGGAACCACCCTGGGTTTGCCGGAAGCACAGGGCAACCGTACCCGAAGAATGATGCCAATGCAGTGGATGTGGTGATGAGGTATGCCATACTCCGCCTGGGCTTTAGAGTTGAGGACATTGTGATGTACGGATGGTCGTTAGGGGGTTATTCAGCCACCTGCGCGGCCATGTCCTACCCGTCACTGGGCGCTTTGGTTCTGGACGCCACCTTTGATGATCTGCTCCCCTTGGCTTTGAATGTCATGCCCAAGAGTTGGAAGAAGCTGGTGGTGCGGACCGTGAAGGAGCACTTCAACCTCAACGTAGGGGAACAGCTGTGCAAGTACTTTGGACCCGTCTTGCTCATTCGCAGGACCAAGGATGAGGTCATCAGCACCTGCCCTGTGGGTCTGGAAGACCAGATAGCCAATCTCAGATGCAACAGGGCCAATGAGCTTCTGGTCCAGTTGCTCGAACACCGTTACCCATGTATCATGTCCCAAGATGGTCTGGAAGCTGTGCATGACTGGCTCAGAGCTGCCAACCCCAAACAGGAAGCGGCACTTTACCAGCGGTACAGGGTGGATGATGACTGGTGTCTCAAGGAGCTTCGGTGTTACAAGTCCAGCCTTGGGCTTAAGGATCACTTCCCTTGGCAGGTTGGACAGTACAGCCAGTGCCGAGAAAAGCAACAAATGGCTGTGTTCTTAGCCAGAAAGCATCTGAAGAACGTGGAGGCCACCCACTGGTCTCTTCTGAAGCCTGATGACTTCCAAATGCCATGGGAATTATAGCAGGAGATGAAGAGATAGACAATGAATGAGGAGGAGAGAAAGAGAGTGAGACAGACAGACAAAGAGAATGGCTTGGAGAACCTAATCATGTTCCTGTATTGTCTTTTTGTGATGTGTCCTTTCCCAAGTAGGGGCTCTTCAGATGTGCTAGATCATCCCCATCATCCATGGCAGGATGGAAGCTGTAGATCAACATATCCTATGGGGCAGCAAGTTCACTGCAGGGAATTGGTGTGGTGGCCCAGTCATCTGGACTGGAGAATGGCAGGCTGGGTGGGGAATCACAACCATCACTCCCAAGCAGGAGGTTGAAGTTGCCTGAGGTACATAATCTGGTTCTTTAGAGGATAAACAGAGATGGGCATTACGAAATCCCCATTAGATGCTGGCCAGGCTCTGAGGAGAGACGCTAAGAGCACTGAAACTTCAGTTCATTTCTTGGGTAGCCCAGCTGAGCTGAAAAGATTGCTTGGAATCCAGATTCTGGGGTCTTCCTGATGCAGAAGAAATTTAGGGGTAATTCTGGAAAGCTATTGCCTAGAGCTGAGCAATGCTTGTGTTTAAATAGTCACCCATGGAAGCTGGTGAGGAACAGTGCTCCACAGGGTAATCAACGGATGTTGCCTTGGTAAACAGAAAGCAGAATAATAAGATTTATTAATGCTGAGCAGAAAATTCCCCCGCATCTCCCCCCTGTTGTTTCTTCTTCAGTTGGATGAAGGAGAGTTTGCAGTAGAAATCCCTTTCAGAGGAGAAGTGGGGTGAATTTATGGGTCAAATGTGGTACTTTGCACCTGCTTAGTGACACAATGACCAAGGGATGTGTGTTAAGGTCCTAATTCTCTGCACATTTTTTTCTCCAGAGATCTGCAGTTTTCATGACTTCTTATTGTTCTTATTTTTCAGTATTGGTGCTCCAGTGGCTATTAAGAGGGATTCCTGTCCTTGAGAAATTGTGGAAGTATTTCTCTTTATCCTGGAGAAATTGCCCACCTATTTCTTCTGGTTTCAAATTCAGCAGGGATTTTCAAAAGGATGTTTTTTACCCAGCTCTACAGCAGGGGGCAGCAGATAGTTGACCTTGACTGATCTCAACAAGCTAAGTAGGATCAGATCTGGTTAGTACTTGGATGGGAGACAAGTCACTTCCAAATTGTGGCCAACAGTGAAGTCTGTGAAGTTGCCACAAATTGAGCTCCACTAGATTAAGGAGGCTTTCCTTAATCCTGTGTGCATTGAGAGATAAGTGTATCCACTATCAAACTTTCTATCAAAGGGCCACAACTTGGGGAAGGGAGCATGTTAGGATTTGTACTTCACAAAGGAGGAGAGGGATGATTCATGGTCTGGATTTTAGCTAATTTAGGATTGGGCTTGCTTAGGTCTTGGGTGAGAGACCACCAGGAAATCTATTGGCTAGACTAGGAAGTCCAAAACAATCTTGGAGGAAGGCTATGACAAACTCCATCAATAGCATTGCCAAGAAAACCTCAGGGATGTGTCCATGAAGTCACCAAGAATCAAAATGGACTTGCCTACAAATTTATTTTTTGCTAGGAGTCATATATGAGGATTATCAGGGTGGTGAGTCTCCCCCTACATCTCTCTTTCACTCCCTCCTTGCACACTCAAAACAATTCTGTGATGGCTTGTATTGCAGGCCTTGAGAACGTGTGATGTGTTGACCAGCATTCCCTCCAGTTGATCGTGGAGGGACTGCAAAAATTGGCCTCTGGGTTGTACCCTGCCTTCTCCCTTGCCATGCTTGGGTTCACGCCAAAAACATAAATGTCTAGCAGCCTCCAGGAAGGAGGGCAATCAAAGAGGAGGTGGGTGGGTGGTAGAAATGCCCAGTCTTCAAAGCTTCCTGGGGATCCAGCATTGCAACTTGCAAATCTGAACTTCTGCCTGCTGTCTTGAGCTATGGGTGAGGCAGAAGCAATCAACTCAGCTGCCCAGCTCAGAGAGTGACACACAACCACGAGAGTAGCGTGCAAAGTGTGGGGTGATGGACTGGAGACATGGTGCTGATCTGAGATCCCTGCAAAATTTGAATGTGGGCCTGGTACCACTGTAGGTTTGGATGTAGGCGCTCCTCACAGGCGAGATCAGGGCTCTCTCTTCAACCTTCTAGATCCACACGTCTCTTCCTCCTCCTTTGCAGTCCCCAACCTGGATCGCTCCAAAGTGATCCTAACGTTGCTTTGCACCAATTAAACAGCCAACGGGATGGCAGCATTGCTGGCTGAAGCTCAGCGATGGGTCAGTTTTCACAAGGCTAGCTAAAGCGTTAAAGCTGGAGAAGGACCACTTTCTGGGGCTGTAGGTACAAGAGAATTTGAGAGCATCTTCACTATATGCCTGCCTCTGATCTGGTATATTTTTTCCCTCTCTCTGAGTAGGTGGGCAGGAAGCTCTAGAGCAGTGTTTTTCAACCTTGGCCACTTTAAGATGGGTGGACTTCAACTCCCAGAATTCCCCAGCCAGCATTCTCCACAGTGGCTCAATAGCCCCTCAATGAAGATCTGCCTGGTAGAGCATACTAATCTAGGTAAAATGGGATTGTATTGTTTAAGGTTCAAGATTAGCAGCCGTCAGGTGCCTGATCCACCTCTTCATTTCTCCCATCCCCTTTTAAAACGGCTCCAATTTATGGCCATCGCTACATCTGGTGGGAGATGTAAAAAAAAAAAAAAGGCTTTTTCGTTGTATTGGGTCCCCAGACAAACCAAATTTAATTTCAATAGATTATTATCCTAAGATATATTATTGTAAGAGAACAAGAAGTTATCTTCATCCCCATTTTCCACCCCAGCCTTGCTTACAGAGACCATATGTCCTTTATTATAAAGGATTCCAGACAGCTCTCCTTTAGACTGATTTGTGTTTCAAAAACTCCCTTCCGTCCTTTATTTTGGTCATTTAACTTTCACCGTAACGATGGTACCACTTAACACGCAGTCTTTCCCATTAGTGTAAAAAATGTGGAAATTGAATTGTCTTGTTAAAGTAAGTGTACAAATACGGTGGGATTTTAGATGTTTTTATTAGAAGATGCTTTTTGGTAAAGTTTTTCTTGGTTTGGCTCTTGAATTTTCCTTTGTGCAGCAAAGTTATGAACAGAAACAATTAAATTTTTTTATCCTTCGGCACCTCTTTCAGAGGTGCCCCTTTTTGTCCTTCATTTTTTCCAAGAAAATATGGTCAGAATAGTCATGGTTTAAATTGCCTCCAGTCTGCCTTCCCTTAGCTGCCCTTCCTGGATGCTAAGAAGCCCCAGAGAAGCTGTCCTAGCTTGTGAATCATCTCCCCCCTGCCTCCAGCCTTTGAATGTTTTTTCTGCCTCCCAGTATGGATCTGTCTCCCTTGAGAGTTACTGAGTTCACACATTGCATTAACCCATGTGAGGAGGAAATCAAATTCTCCCCCCACCCCCCATGTTAGCCAGAAGTCAAAGCTTCCCATTTGTCTCATTTTATCGTGGCTTATCTTCAACAGCCCTTAAAGTCTATGGCTCAATTATAGTAAGAATGGGCTCACCTAAAAAGATTAAGACAAGAGAAAGAATCCAGAGTCCTCCACCCTAGCCCAAAATTAAATAACTAAAGACCTGGCAGGAAGGGCCAACATTTCTTAAATCCAAAAATTGAATCCTAAAAAGGTTTCTTCCCCAAGAGATCTACATTCCAGTTAGACAATACCTGATAAGGCAAACTCAGGAAACCACAGCTCAACCTAAGCCCGACCTGAGAACGCTCCCTAGTCAATTTCCCTAGTCAATTTCCCCAGATTGCTGGAATCCTGGTTAATGACCGTTTCTAAGAATTCCTAGAGGCTGGGTTTCCCTTGGCCTTTTAAGGATCTTCCTACAAAAGGAACTCCTGGGAAAACCCTAAGCTTGACTGACAGCTGGTCTTGTGTATCTGGCACTCAGAAATAAAGTTTTCTCTCTCCTTCAAGCAACTGCCTGGGTATTTATTCCCGGCCCGGAGACGAACCTGGTAAGTTTGCCTTCCAACACCCAGAAGAGCCTCTCTTGGCCTTTGCCTTGACATCTCATACGACCCCTCCGTTCTGGGTTAATAAACCTCACCGCAGGGCTCAATGCTAGATGGGAACCCAATCACTGGGGCTGATGAACAAACCACGGCTTAATGTCACCCGGGATCCTAGGCAGCGTGGTGGTTCACACAATGACATAGTCAGTGTCTATCCTGCCCCAGTCTAGCCACACTCGCAGTTTACATAAAGTGCCAGATGGCAAAAAAGTGAAAACATCTGGGGCATGGTTAAAGTGGAACGGTGAAGAATTGTAAGACACCCTTCGAGTAAAAGAACAGCAGGATAACAAATCAAGAAACAAAAGAGTAAAGAGGGTGCAGTGTGTGGACTTGAGAAAAGGGTCCCAAATAGTTCTGTTTTTAGCGTTCTCCTAAAGACCAGCAAGGTGGTGTCTTGGAGAAGCAAGGTTTTTTAGCTCTGGCCTCCCTCATCTCTCTGAAGTCTAGGACTATGATTGGTTTTGCCGTCTAATGCAGAGTTTCCGAACCTTGGCAGCTTTAAGATGCGTGGACTTCAACTCCCAGAATTCCCCAGCCAGCCCTGCT